ACGGTACAAGGGCAAATTTATCATAGAATAGGATCACTTTTTCCAGTTGAAAACGAACAGCATAAATTTTTACAAGTATATTTTATGGGTGACGAAAAAATTCATGTAGACTGTCGCTGCCAATTTATCCAGGGAGTTGAGAGAGACGCAGTGTTCAAAATTCAAAGATTCTTACATGACGTAACATTTTAGTCAAAACATTTAGAACTGCTTTAGAAAACCTACCTGAAGAGGATTATAAAGTTGTCATTCACGCAGATTGGACCCCTCGAGTACAGCATGAAAGGTGCTACAATGCACCTTTGATAAACGAAATAGCAGCCGTAATTAGTGGTGATCAATTTTCTTCACTAGACATTGTGTTGCGAGCACGTGATGACACGTTGCAACGGGTAGCTATTGATTTATTGCAAAGTACAAGAGGGTTATCATTTTCAAATTCCACTCATTAACACGGTCACAAAGGAGCCTACTCCGAACAAAAAAGTATCATGTTTGGATTTTTATGCGTGTCATATAATGTTGCGAGAAAATGATTTTAACCTCTTAGCCCGGTGTAGACAAATATTTCATCAATTTTTGGTAGACATGTATGTGAAGGTAGAAAGTGAACGTCTCCGCTATATATCTTTAAATCAAAAAATGCTGCGCGTTGAGAATTATATACATTTACAAGATGCAGTTTCTAGCGATGCCAATGTAAACCCCAGAGATTTAGGTAAAATGGTAATTCTGCCCTCATCATTCGATGACAGTCCCCGCTACCTACATGAGTACACACAAGACGCATTCGCCTATGTAGGAACCTACGGAAGACCTGATCTTTTTTGTTACTTTTACTTGCAATCCCACGTGGAAAGAAATAACCGAGGAGCTAATGCCGGGCCAAAAAAGTACTGACAGACACGATTTAGTTGCTAGAGTTTTTAGATTAAAAGTACAAAAATTAATGTATGTAATTAACAAAGGGAAAATTTTCGGAGAGGTACAGTGCTTCATGTATTCAATTGAATGGCAAAAAAAAAGGATTACCGCACGCCCACATTCTAATATGGCTTAAAGAGAAGTTGCGGCCCAGCCAAATAGACGACATAATAAGCGCCGAGATTCCGGATCCTGAGCAAGATAAAGAATTGTATGATACCATCGTCCGAAATATGATTCACGGTCCATGTGTAGCACGAAATTCAATATCGCCATGTATGAAAGAAGGAAAATGTACAAAGAAATTCCCTAAACAGCTATTAAAAGAAAAAGTGCACAATGACAATGGCTACCCTTTATACAGACGCAGAGCTCCCGAAAATGGTCGCAGGAAAGTTACAATCAAATCTCGCTCTGGAGCGTTCGAAACTAAGGTTCGAACGCTCCAGAGACAGAACAGCTCCAGAAGGTACGGGACAATCCAGCTGTTATCTAAGGATAACAGCTGGATTGTCCCGTATTCACCCATTCTATGTAAAATGTTTAATGCCCACATTAATGTAGAAGCATGTAGCTCTGTCCGCGCAATCAAGTATATCTGTAAGTACATAAATAAAGGAAGCAACCAAGCAATATTTAATCTCAGCAGTGAAGGTGAGGCAAATCCCGTTAATGAAGTACAGACCTTTCAAGCAAGGCGTTAGTGAGCAGTAACGAGGCAACGTGGCGTCTCCTTGGCTTCCCTTTACACGAAAGGCACCCAACAGTTACTCACCTTGCTGTGCACTTAGAAAATGGAGAGCGTGTATATTTCACCGAAAGAAATTTCCAAGAAAGAATTGCATCACCTCCAAAAACTACACTAACAGCCTTCTTTCAACTTTGTCAAACCGACCCCTTTGCAAAAAAGTTGTTATATTCTGAAGTCCCCTGCTATTATACTTGGAACACATCTAGGAAGGAGTGGAAACGCCGTATTCAAGGCGCGCCTGTTGCAAATTGGCCCGGTGTAAAGTCATCAGATTCCCTTGGTCGTGTGTATACCGTCCATGTAACTAATTTTTAATGTTTCTGTTTACGATTGCTGCTGCACCATGTTCGGGGTCTTACAGGATATAAAGACCTTAAAACTGTCAACGGTCAGGAATGCGCAACTTATAGAGAAATATGTGAAGCTATGCATTTTTTAGAAAATGATTATCACTGGGAAGAAACCATGGAGGAAGCTGTGCAGTGCCAGTCACCAGCCAAAATTAGGGATCTTTATGCAACTCTCATATCATCTTGCGGGCTATCTAATGCACATGAATTGTGGGACAAATATAAAGAGTACATGGCAGAAGATATTTTGCGAAGGTTACAGCAGACACAAGCGAACATGACATACTGTTACGCGCCTTAGTCGACGGCACTAGCGCCATCTAGTCTCGAACCGAAGAACTAAACTTCTTGAAGTTGAAACTCGAACTCTCGGTATCTTGCGCGTGTTTACTTGAATATTCTAGATATGTCCGTGCTATTTATATAAATAGGCGCTGCAACATGCGATCAGGGAAGTATTGAAGTTGGCGAGACAAGCGAAGCTTTGGAGCGGAATAAAGTGAATCAGTGTGATTAATTATTAGTGTTTTAAGTTTAATTAGTGTAAAGTGAATTAAAGTGTTAATTTAGGTAATTCTATCGGCAATTTTTATTGTCACGAACCTCAAGCTCGTAACAATACAATGAACACATTTATAATGAAGCACTTAGAAAAATTGAAGATAAAGTAATGGCAATGGTAGGCAAAAAATTAAGCGACTTTGGAATGATAAGCCCTCAGCGAAGAACGGAAAATGAAATGAGTGATGAAATTATACGTGAAACAAACTACGATATACCAGCTTTGCAGCAGCAAGTAGCGGAATATATACTCCGCTTGCTTCCCGAACAAAAACGAGTTTTTAACAAAGTATTAGGACAAATTGAATCTGGAAATGGTGCACTTTTCTTTTTAGATGTCCCTGGAGGAATTGGGAAAACATTTTTGTTAAATTTATTATTAGCGCAAGTACGGAAAGATAAAAACATTCCTGTGGCCGTAGCTTCCTCCGGTATAGCCGCCACGCTGCTAAGCGGGGACCGCACTGCACATTCTGTTTTAAAACTCCCTCTAAATCTAGCCTAGGAAGAATCACCGATCTGCAACTTTAGCAAAAATAGTGCACAAGGTATAATGCTACGACAATTCAAACTTTTAGTGTGGGACAAAATTACAATGTCGCATAAAAAAGCTGCACAAGCACTAAATCGAACGCTCCAGGATTTGCGCAGCAATACCGATGTAATGGGAGGAATGGTGGTTTTACTGGCTGGTGACTTTCGCCAAACTTTACCTGTCATTCAAAAGGGCACACCTACAGATGACATTAAAGCATGCCTCAAGTCGTCTATTTTATGGAACAAGGTGACAAAATTCAATTTAACTACGAATATGAGAGTGCATTTGTATAATGATATCAATGCTGGAAACTATGCTGACACACTATTAAAAATTGGCGATGGGCAGTCGAAAACGGATGCTGAGAATTGACGAGAGATTTTTGTAATTTAGTACAGAGTCATTCCGAATGAATTACAAGCGTTTATTCAGATTTAACGAATAACATGGATGAGTACAAATGGTTCTGTGAAAGGGCGATTCTTGCAGTAAAAAATGAGAGCGTTAACAAATTAAATTCAGATATATTAAGCGAAGTAGAAGGAAAAATATCAGAGTATTTGTCTGTAGACACAGTTATGGACACAGAGCACTTCATATCCCGTAGAGTTTCTAAATTCTCTAGAGTTATCAGGTGTGCCCTCACATAAGCTTCAATTAAAATTAGGCGTCCCAGTCATGCTAATGCAAAATTTAGATGCTCCTCGGTTATGTAACTGGACAAGGCTGCATGTGACACATCTTGGACGGAACATAATCGGTGCTAAAATTTTGAAAGGCGTTGCAGTTCCCTATTAAGCTCAGTTTTGCAATGACAATTAGTAAAGCGCAAGGGCAAACGTTACAGGTAGCGGGGGGTCAACTTGGAAAAACCGTGCTTCTCTCATGATCAGCTGTATGTAGCATGTTCGCGTGTGTCAAATGCCCAAACTCTCCACATTCTTTCCCCGAATGGAAAAACTTAAAATAAACTTAAATAGTCTTAAAATAGTGTTCAGTTAGTTTTTTTTTCCAAAATTTCCACAATCAATTAATCAGAATTCCCACAGATCTGCCCTTTCAATTCAAAATTTCCTATTTAGCTCAGTTTCTTTTCAATTCCAAATGCTGCACTTTTGACGGACCTATTAAGCTCAGTTTCCTTTTAACTAAAAAAGGCTGCATCTCTGACGGATCTGTTATTTGGCTCAGTTTCCTTTCAATTCAGAAAACTGCATCTCTGACGAATCAATTTAGCTCAGTTTCTTTTCAAAAATCTGCATCCCTGACGGATAATTATATGAAGGATAGTTTAAAGGAAACTGAGCATAATTATGCTCAGTTTCCTTTAAAAATATCCCATTTCAATTTGGAATAAACAGGCTATTTTCATGCTTTCCTATACGCTGCCTTTCAAAACATTTAAATAGGCTGACGAATCAATTTTGCTCAGTTTCCTTTTAATGGCTGCATTTCTGACAAATCTATAAAACTCAGTTTTCTTTCAATTCAAAAAGCAATGGATAGTTCATTTCCCAGTGACCATGCGTGCGAAGCCGCGGGTAGCAGCTGGTAAATAAATAATTGTTATCAAAATATTATCTGGGGCCAGAATGAAAGAAAACTAGTCAAAATTGGGTTTGCGCTATTGGAGAATATAAAATTTTAGCTGGCCCGCTCGAAACTTGCAGTCGTGGCCTACTCTCTTCTCTTACAGACAGACAGACAGACAGACAGAAAGTCACTTCTTTTACAGACCTTTCTTGTTTTTTGGCGCTACGCTTACAAAAGGAAGCACGAGACGATAACAGTATTTTTATTTTCTATTAGGAAGAGTTACCTGAACTACTCATCCTCTGAGAACTATTATTTTTTGATCCAATAGAAAACTTCAGCTTTAGTGGTCATCGACCTTCGAAAAAATTTTACTCAGGCCTCCTCGCTGATCGAGAAATTTGGAGAGTAGATCTATATCGAATAAATGAGTCTGTGATGGAGGAATTTCCGACAACTTGGCTACGTGTTGCTGTTCCTTGGGTTTTAAGGCCTTTCTTCGCATTTCAATGATCTCCGCCCTTCTGGCACACGTGAACTGCAATAAATCATCCGAAACCTCTTTGAATTGGGATTCTCCTAAGAACATTTGCTTGATATCCTCATAAGCTCCCGTATGTTTGGCGGCCAAAGATTTTATTCCCTCCATCAGTATTTGTCTTTGTTTCAATAAGCCATGAGTTAAAGATCCCGTTAACTCATCCGCTCGCTCCAAAAACTTTTGATTGTAAGATTTTGAAACTAAACCTTCCAAATGCGTGTTAACCTTCAGCGAGTCGAAAACTGGCGACGCGTGAAGCTGAATTTATACCTGGTAGAGCCAAGCTGCAGTTATATTAGTAGTATAGTTGTAGCACGAATGGGTTGGCTCGACCGGAGAAGGACCACGCTCTCATAGAATACCAGCGTGAAATAGTAGCTTAATGCTGCTGTATTTCGTATGGTGAGTGTAGAGAACCGGAGTCCCTTTTTACTGGAAACGAGGCATTCCATCTTAGTCCTCACGGGTGACAACGCATCTGCATTTTGATTCGTAATCGAGGATAGATGCAGATGTCTATGGGCCACAGCAACCACGTACCATCAGGTGGACTGTGTGCTCGTTTGTCACCCTATCCTATAAAAAAGCTTTTTCTGGACCTTCTTGTATCTGATCCTGTTCTAAACTCAGGAACCAAACTTCTGGCAGGAAATTCCTTGCGCTTTGATATCAGCTGATGAAGGAGGGATTGAAGGCTCATTTTCTTTCACCTGAGGTGCAAACAACAAAGCTTCAAGGCCATTCATAGGTTGCTTCCGTAAGTCTTCCATCACTGGCATAGTCCAGTTCTCTGATCCTGTTGAACGAGTGTCACAAGAGCACTCTAATTGACTACCTGACTGTTCCTCGTCTTTACTCAATTATCCTCCCCCCTTTCGATTACTCTGCTGCTCAATCGTTTGGATCTTACTCAAGACGATTTCAAACATAATATGTTTCATCTATTCTTGCAGAGCAGCTACTTTGAATCTCTTTGCCACAAGACTCTTATTGCCCGAATTGATACTCGGCCTTTTTAAACTCGGATATTCATTTTCTATGTCCGACTCAGGATTTGAATCTTGAGGCTTAACTCCTCAGTCCCCAAGAGGTTGAATCCGACCGCGGCGCTATTCGTCGAAATCCAAGTGGTCGGATTCGACCGCGCACACCTACAACATTTTAAACCATTAAAACTGATATTTAGAGACTACTTTTTTATGAAATTTTCTATCATCTAGTGCAATAAAAAGTCAAGTTATCCTATGAATATTTATTTATAATCTATATTCATTTCGTACGCCATTTTCGCGTGAATGTTATTGTGTTGGTTTTTGGATTTTTCTAGTGTTTTATTAGTATTTTAGTATAATGTTTCATTATAAAATTGAAATGAAAGTATTTGTGTGAATATAATTTATCTTTTTTACGTAAATAATTCCGAGTAATATATATTGAAATAATTGTGATTTTCACGCTGCCGACATTCGCTTGGTATGTTTTTCTTGTTACCAAAATACAATAGTTTTTTTTGTAATGAAGTAAAACCTTACTTTTATGTGGAGATTTTTGTATAGATTTTATAATGCCAAACTTTTTTATAGAAAAGTAGTCTCTAAATATAAGTTTTAATGGTTTTAAGTGCAGCGGGTGGATGACCGTGCATGCAACCGCTCGGGATTTGACGGGTGCATGAGATTGCATGGGGTTTTACTGGGATTGGGACGAGAGGTTAAGTTTTTCTGCTGCTTGATTGCGTGAGATACAAAACGGCTTAACCGGTTTAATCGCATGCAGAAAAATCTCTGCCTGCCCAACCGACCCCTTAAGTTTATTGACAAAGCTCGGAGGGCTCATGATGAGTGCCCTACAAAAGGGCCATTTCAACATGGCTACCTTAAGATCGCGATATTGTTTCTCTGGTAAATCCACAGACAGTGGATTAAAAGTTTGAGCCAAACCTACTGTTGGTAAAGCAAAACGCAGTTTATTCAATATCTCTGGGTCCACATTCAGCTTATTCTCAAACAGAGTTACTTTGAAAAGATCCAACGTCTTCCAGTTTAACCAGCCAACCAGTAACGATTCCTGCGCCAACAGCTTAATCCGGTCTAAGATTCTGTCATCCTCTGCCGTGTCTGCTGATAACTCCAAAAATTCCTCCATTGTTCTCCAGCCTGGTTGTCCAGCCATCTGAAACATTCCAGGACTTCATTAAGAGATATTCTCTACCCAAATGTGAGTAATTTGCTCGAGATAGAATGTCTGTGAGCTTTAATTCATACTTGCGCCTGTATTATAAGATATATAAATATAATCTTAGCCTCTAAGATATTATATATCTTTATGAACATTTTGCATCGCGAGAAAAATTAATAAGAGCCGTTACTGCTTTGGCTGAAGGGATGCCTCAGCTGCGCTTCAGTTGTTGTTACGTCTCGGCTGCCGTTGCGTCTCGGCTACGACTGGAGCGACGCCTCAGATGCGCTTCGGTTGTTGTTACGTTTCGGCTGCCGTTGCATCTCGACTACGGCTGAAGGGACGCCTCGGCTGCGATTCGGCTGCTGTTACGTCTTGGCTGCCAATGTGTCTCGACTAGAGCTGCTTTTGCGCTTCAGCTACGGCTGCGGCTGCGACTGCTAACGCCTTGCCTCAGCTGATAAGAAGTTCCGTGGGAGCTGCCTTTCTTTGCCAGACGAGTTTGACAACTGCATCTTGCGAGCCTTGACGGCTGCGCCTCGCGAGCTTTTACGTTACAGTTGCGACAAACTCCACTCGACGACATAAATGTATAAAGCGTCCTACCATAAACTCAAACATTAAACATTATCGTTATTATCTTTTCCTTAATATTCTGCCACCAATAGTCACAATTAATTAAACACTTTTTCGAACGTTACACAACGTTATATACATGCACACATTACTCAGAAAACGACAGCGTACTGAGGAATGCTACCGCGAGCCGGTTGCGCTAGCCGTCACAACCTTGAAGAGCGCGGTAAGGGGGGGGACGAAGCCCCTTTGGAGCCCACTAGTTGTAAATTTGGCAAGTACACATGAAAGGATTGCGGTGGGTAATCTCTCCGAAAGGTCAAGCAATGAAACGGCATATCAGTATGTCAAATATGACTCAAACACGGTTAAAAATAATGTTGTTGTAAATCAGAAGCACGTCAAATCGCCATTTATCTTACGCACCATCTGCGTGTAATACTCTCGTGAAATATTGTTAATATTAGATAGTAAAACACATTTAGATTCCAGGCGAAGTCGTAAGAAACAGACTTACAAAATGTCTGGTAGACATAAATATAAATGAAGCTGCTCAGGATTATATTAATAGATTTTTTATCTCTATTTATCAATTAACGGAGACGTCGGAGATAGGGCTTAATACATTTAGCCACGAATTTACGAGTATCAGTTCTATATGAGTAATATTGTTCTGTGATTTTTTTTAAAGGGTAATAATAATAAATATAAAACTCTGTTTATAAATTTCACATGGATGGTGTAATATTTTTTGATATAAACCTAAGGTCCAAGATGAAGAGGATAAGAGGCATGTCTTATCAATTAAAAACGAGCTCCGATTATCTAGACTCACCATACGAAACATGTAGCTGTTTTACGCTGATATTCTGTGATGTATAGGTATAAAGGAGATATGCCACAGCAGCTAGGGGAAGACCAAACTAGCACAGAATACTTAAAATATCGTATAATGCAGTGCATCACAATGCTGATGAGTTGCGTACGGTTAATGACGATAACCGGATAATAGCCTTTTATTGTTAATGAGGCATTCCACCTCAGTCCACGCATGTTCAATTTTAATGCATTTATCTGCATATATATATATGTATATATATATATATATATATATATATATATGTGTGTGTGTGTGTGTGTGTGTGTGTGTGTCCACCACATCCACTCACAGGTAGACTGTGTGTTCATTTGTCACCTTTAAATTTATACATTCAACATATTAAACTTAACATTATATTAATTTTCTTAGTATTAACCAATTACATTTTACTTATTATATAGACTTATTCACATCAGTTACATGAAAGTGATCCTTAACATCCTTGACCTATTTCCGGGTGAACAAATTGAATAAAGGGAGGCACACTTTCTTATTTCGTATTTACTTTAAATGTTTGCAATTTGGTGCCAAGGATATATTATATTCTTTTCACTTAAAACACTTCATATAAATAAACCATAATATTCACAAATAATATTTTATTGTTTTACAAAAATTATTTTTTTTAATAAAGTAGCTTTATTATTTTGCAATACAATAAAACTGTGAGTATTTTAACCGACTTCAAAAAAAGAGGAGGACTCTTTTAGCTGAACCGATTTTAATTATTCTTTTTTTATTGGAAATATGATGATTTTCTTGTAGTTTCATATAAATTTATTCAAGATCTGACCAGTAGTTTTAAGGTGTTCTTAATAATACGTATTTAATTGACTTTTACTAGATTGATTATGTTCACATTTTATTTATATTGAGGTCAGTTGAAGAAAATTTTTAATTTTACCACTTGTTTTAAAACTGAAGTGGCGCTCTTTGCAGCCCACCCGATCATGACTACTGCGACTCACGAATACTTGCAACCAACATCAATTAAAGTACACCTGTAAGGATTAAGATGGATCGCCTTACAGCCTGTTATAATACCGTGTCTCCATACTTATAGTTTAGTACTTTAAATAAACTTACATTAGTATCTTTAGACTAGTTTTAAGATTGTATAGCCACGTTGAAGTTGAACATTGGGTGCGTTTGGCAGAAAAAAGCGCTAGCAAGCGCTTACAAGCGCTAAAATAGTTTTCTGCCAGGACACGATTGCTATTTCGCTGACACAATCCGCCATTTTGCTTATTTAATTTGTTTGTTTTGAAGTAGAGTTTATAAGTTGTTTTGTGCAATATTACCTAGTTTTAAGTAATATAATGACATGAATAGACATACATATGTTATTAAAAATTCATGATTGGTAAGTTTTTAATATGAATACTTTACAAACATATATTTAAATTAGGTTGGGTTCCCCGGTTAAAACTAACATCGTGTCCTGGAGGAAAATAGCTACTTACGATTTGACAGCGCTTACCGCTTACGATCGCCATTTTGCTTACAAGCGCTTGCTAGCGCTTTTTTCTGCCAAACGCACCCATTGTATAGCCATGTTGATCTTGTGTAATTGCTACAGTATTAGTTCTGAAAGAACTACCATCTCATTGAATACCAATGTGAAATGGCAGCATAATGCTGCTCCGTTTCGTATGGTAGGTGCAGAGAGCTGTTTCATAATTAACGAAGCAGGATATGCTTAGTTCACGTCACTAGAGGATCCAGTGATAATTACTACAAAAATGCACCTTGACTTTTTATAGAGGAAAGACGTAGGTGTCTGTAGGATTCTGTATCTGGTTATCATTAATTTGAAGTGCTCGTTTATCCCACTTATTTTTTTTAGTACTAAAAAGAGTTGTTGGCCACGTACTTCAAATTTTCCTCATCTACGAGTATAGCTTTAAAAGTTTAAAACTTATTATATTATAAGTAGAGTTTTAAAACTTAAGCAATAGAATAAAAGTAGTGCAATAAATTTAGCATATTTTCAGATATAAATTACGACACCAAGATGCAGTCAATCACTGCTGATCGTATGATGAAGCCCATAGTCACACAGCGAGACTACACTCAATTTTTCTGCATGATAAAATCTACAAAAGGAAAACATGGATGAAATAGTAAGCAGTGTCAACAGACCAATTGTATAGCTTGAAAAACGACCCTAATATTACCAAGGAGATTTTATTGAGTGACAATAAAGAACTCGAAAATCATGCAGGATCTCCGTAGACGCAGATGACGATGAACCGTGATTTGTAACAAATTGTGGGAAGGCCTGCGTTTAGCAGTAGCCATGTCTGTCACAGTCCGTAACGGTGATGATAATGATGAAGTTATAATTCCATAAATATAAAAAACTTAATTTTAAATTTAGAAACGAGGATATTTGCAGTAAAACCAAAGTAACCGACATAGACCAATGGATTAGTAAACTGTAGTGGCAATGGGTCAGTAGTATAGCTCGAAAAGCCGACCACAGATGTGGGAGAAAAGGTTCTTGAGTGGGAGCCTCGTACTGGAAAGTGTAGTGTCTTTGGCTTCGATCAACAATACTAACTAGATAACGGGTCACTTACAAAATCATAGCTAAATACTCTCCGCATGAATATAAACTATGAAAAGACATAAATTAAATAACATTTAGTGTGATATCAACCTTAAGTTATAATAAATAAAGTTCTTTTTCCCGTTATTGCCTTGCGAGATACACTCTCACGTGCAAGAGCTCACTTCTCATGCGCTCTTGTTTACTGAGATGAATTTCTTGCGCCGACCCGACGTCTAGTTGGTATTATTGATCGAAGGTCTTTGGGGAAGACCTATATTCAGCAATGGACTTGTGAAGGGCTGTAGAGATAATTATAATATACAGTTGATACGCATGATTAAATATTATTTGGAAACGTCGTGGAAATATCCGTCTCTCTGTCTATGCGTCTATCTATATTTGTCTGAACACCTACGCACCAAAAAACTTAGAAAATATTTGGATAGGATTTTCGCTGTAGTATTTCTAATATACTTAAAGCCGAATTTTGGTAAAGACGGCCAGTCGCAAGGGAGACTAGCTATCTGCGCAAGACAGCTTTATAGTACCAGAGTGTATGCAGAAACACAAGTGCATCTATATTCCCGCACTCTCATAGCCCGATAAGGCGACAATCCGACACCACCGGAGAGAGATCATGTAATTGACCAACAGTTTTGCTCGCTTCCCGAGGCAGGGAGGTTAAATACGATCGACTCTTGACACTTGACTGCTATTGAGAGTATTCTTAACGTAAAACCCCAATAACTAATTTTGGCCCAACCCGAGATTCGAAAGACTTAAGACTTCACGGTCAGTAGTCTTGCTTAAAACCACTAGACCAACGAAGCAGACACAATAGTACGTAACGTAGAGACCGAACCGTTAAAATCAATAAATATTATCACCCTACCTATTTTAGTAGCGGAGCAGTAGCTCCATGCCGAAGTGTATATTATAATAAAATTAAACACAGGT